CTAAAACGCTCATCATAGATAGAGGCCATGTCGATCTAATTTTAGTCAAACTTTTATCTTTTTGTATTCAATTAAGAGCTTTCAAATATCAAGTCGTTTCTTGACAAGTATATAATGACATTGAATAAAAAATTGAAAATTAAGAGTTGAACTAGGATAAAAACAGTAAAAGCCGACTACAATCAGATATTCGTCATCAACATAAGATTCTACGTCAAATGAGAAAATTTCAAGTAGAATCCAATGAAAAGAAATTTTCGAGAAAAATCAAAGTTGAATTTTTGTTCAGCGTATAATACTAATTCCAAATAAATTTCAAATATCTATGCATTTTTATGAACAAAAAACAACATAAAATATCTTGATATCTAAAAATAATTATCATGTTTTTTAGATATTAATGAAATCGTGTAACACAGTATTTCTAGAAACCTGATGCAAAAATACAATCAAATTTTAATCAAAATGAGTGAGCTCGATAGAGCTAGTTGAATTCTATCTGAAGGTGTTGTTTTTCTTGCCATAACTATCAATATAAGCATGTTTTGTTATGGAATTTTATGAAAAATACAGATGGTATATAATAGCATTATTTTGGTTTGTTGAATCTGACATTTGTATTAAGGTCATATTTTGAGAAAATATTTATCATTCTATTGATTATTATTTGATTGAAGAATGATTTTCACATTAATACATGTCTATTTAAAGATATATTTCACTAGCATCTTCTTCACAGATTTTCGAGTAACTTTTATTCCCAATTCGCTTGTTGATCACAGTCCAGCTTGTTTATTCCTAAGGGCGGTCTGTTTTCTTTCATATTTCCCACTCAATCATCTTGCTAGTATATGCTAGTAAGATGGTTGAGACAGAAAGATGATAGCAAAGCGGCTGTTCTTGACAGAAAACAAACTAGTCTGTGACCATTTTCAATGCATATTCAAGACCAATAAGTGAAATCGAAATAAGGTTCATTGGTCACTCTAGAAGAGAGTTCATGTATTTAAAAGATAGAATGCTGCTCAGGAAAAGTGATGTTTTCTTTTCACATACTATCAATTCTACTCTTTCTTTTTGGTTTGAACCCTTTTTAGATGTAGATGATTGATGATTGATCACGCTCACTAGTATATTTATTTATTAATTAATTTTAATATGTTAAAATTCATTCATATTTCTCTATTTATACGGACTATCCAAGAAATTGTATAAGAATCATCGAAGAAAAAACTTGTTTATGTTAATGCAAGTTCTGTCTGTCTTGCTGTTATTGCTATTATTCAATTATCTATATCATTTTACAGATATAGAAAAAAAAAGTCAAAAAAAAAGCGTAATCCGGACATAATTGTTAAATAGAAATATAAGGTCATGCTTTTCAATGCTCTATATGTATATCATATGATTAGAACATATAATATTTGCAAAAAAAACAATATTCGACAACAAACAGAACATCGTGCCAGATGTGTGTTGATTCATCAGTATTTATTAGCCGTTGCAGAACAGAAAACCAATGAATTGTTATTAAATAAATAGTTTTCAACATAATTTCTCTCTAGGAGTCTATTGAGTTCTTGCTTATCATTTATAAATATGTGACGTGCGTGTCAGAGATCATACTATATCCCATATCTCATCAATCTACTCTCATGATACTATCCTTAGAAGAATTGATGAAACATGATCATAATCTTCTTCTGTCTTTCAGAGAGATTAAATTGGAAAAAATTGTTTTTCTTTGTAGTCAATAAAATTATATCCATAGAGAGAGTCAATATTCATGTTATTATAAGTAAGTAAATCGTTCAGTGGTAGACAACATCATCTTTTTCTTAGCTTGTTTGATGTTTGAATGAATGATGAATGAATATTCCTCTGAGATTTTTGTTTTTTTTTTCTATTCAAAGAGAAATCATATTCCTCATCAATGTTGACACGAATGCAGAAATATAGTAATACTTTTTGTATATATCAATATGTGTATTGTTTTGCAAAAGCAATTTGAGATTTTACGAATAGTTCGAAGACAGTCGCATTTTCAAACCTTTGAGAACTGATTTTTGGTTATGGAATATTTTAAGTTACTTTATTGGTGATTATATCCAGAAAAATTAGGTGAGTCTTTTGGTAAGAAGTTTAAGTAAAATTCCACGGAATGCAAGTCACTTTAATGATCGAATATTCACAAATTGCTGTTACACATTCAGTAAACTCCTGTTTGTTTAGTATAAGACCAGAAGATAAAATTTTTTTGAAATATACCAAGCTAAATTCACATTTGTTACTTAGAGCATTTAATTCTGTGTCATTCCATATAACAGCTACTATTGTTTCAATACAATAATCCATCATGAGAAATACTATTCTCCAGTCTAGCATGGTTCAATAGCTGACGATTGAACAATAGTAAGTTTTGTTTGATATAGTTTTCTATGTGAACTACTCTCTCTCTTATATATTCTTCTATAGAGCAAAGCGAGAATTACAAAATGAGATACAATTTACACGGTTCAGGCTTAGTCTCAACTATATAAAGCATGTAGGTAAGTGTTCGAGAGCACGAAACGAGCACTTTCTTTTTAGTCGATTCTAGGCTTCCTCCATTAGAGTAAGTCAGTTTTTTGATAAAAACAAACAGAATATTTGAAATCAGCGTGAAAAGCTTTTTTCAATTGTCTTAACTGTTCTCAGATGCAGAACTTTTTTCAATTAAGCCGATGTTTTGATGACGTTCATTGGTTCATTGATCCTTGAAAAGAAACAGCTAAATTTTTGGACTATAATAAAAGAACGTACATCGACTCAAGTTTTCGTACTGATTTCAAATGTTCTATTTGTTTTTATTGATGCCTACTTACCCTCATGGAATAAGACTAGAATCGACTAAAAAACGTACTCTTTTCGTACTCTGAAATGCTTACCTACATGCTGTGCATAGCTGAGACTAACAAGGGAACATTTCCAAGTGTCCCATCGTTTTTGAGTTCGGACTCTATGCATAAGGTAGATCCCAGTGACGTATGAAAAACCCCAGAAGAATAAATGCTCTTAGGCCTTCTGTCTAGAGTTATAGGCATTTTACCGAAATTTTAGCCTTTGGCATGGTAAATACCGACAAATCAAATGGTGGTATTTCGACCTAAAATTTTGCCCACAAATAGATCTATTTGTGAGTAGAATACGCTGAAAATTTCAGCTCAAAAGAATGTTTTATTCCTGAAATATTAAAGTCCCAAAAATCAATAATATCCCACGAAAGATGCTAGAATTTACTGTTTTTTGGGACTTTAATATCTCAAGAATAAAACATTCTTTTGAGCTGAAATTTCCAGGATATTCTACTCACAAATATATCTATCTGTGGACAAAATCTCAGGTCGAAATACAGTCATTCGATTTATCGGTATATACCATGCCAAAGGCTAAAATTTCGGCAAAATGCCCATAACTCTAGACAGAAGGCCTAAGGGCACTTATTCTTCTGGGGTTTTTCATACATCACTGGGATCTACCTTATGCATAGAGTCCGAACTCAAAAACGATGGGACACTTGGGAATGTTCCCTCGTAAGCCTGAACCGTGTAAATTGTATGTCATTTTGTAATTCTCGCTTTGCTCTATGGAGGAATATATAAGAGCGAGAGAGTAGTTCACATAGAAAAATATATGAAACAAATCTTACTATTATTCAATCGTCAGCTATTGAACCATGCTAGACTGGAGAATAGTATTTCTCATGATGAATTATTGTATTGAAACAATAGTAGCTGTTATATGAAATGATACAGAATTAAATTCTCTTAGTAACAAATGTGAATTTAGCTTGGTATATTCTAAAAAACTTCTATCTTTTGGATCTTTACTAAATAAAACAGAAGTTTAATGAATATCTAACCGCTTTTTATGGATATTTTACCGTTAAAGAGTTTACCATTCTGTGAAATTATGCTTAAACTTCTTACCGAAAAAGTCACCTCATTTTTACATATAACATTACCAATAATGATACTCAGAATATTCCGTAGTGTCAAACCAATACCTTATGAGAAGGAAACTACGAAAGAATTTTTGCATAAACGTTTAGTCTATAAAATGAAGGCTACACATCCGTTCATACGGTCTGCAATTGACATTACTATCTATCATAGTTTCGGAAAGTTATAGTGCATAAGATGACTAATATTCACTTCGTTCTTTTACCACATCCTATACTACGTTTTCTTTTCATCATAGGACATTCATTTACAAGTTTTTTTAACGATCAGATAAGTTACATCGTATTGTTGCACTCCGATAAAGTTTCCGCTAACTTTCTTTTTCTATGACTTTCTTTTAAATACTAAATCGAAGAGTGCAGAAGTTTAGCGACAACATATTTTTTTGCATTGTTTTTTCTATAATATTCAGTAATTAGTTCAAATTCAGATAGTGATTTTAATATCTCATGGAGTTTTGCTTTTACCGAGAATTCCATCAATGCACTAAGATGACAACGTTTCAAAAAATATTCAACACGGTAGTTTTGAGATCTTAGAAAACTTTGTCAGAGCTTCTTTTAACAGTCCCATTTCTGAGAGCACAAAATGAGAGGTAGCCGTATTTTTTCTGATCTTCTCTTAGAATGTGTAAAGTATTATAAAAACTGTAAAAAAAAAACGATATTTATCGAAAACTGTTCTTTTTCGATTTTTGTAATATTTGTAACTTTTCAAGAGAAGAGCGGAAAAACTATAGGGATCACTCAATTTTTGATCTTTAAAATGACATTGTTAAAAAAATGGCTCCAGCAGAACCTTGTAAGACCTGAAAACTATTATGTCAGGGTTTGTTTTTAGAAATCTTGGTAAGCGAGAACTTCGTTGGCTATTAAATCTACTATTTGGATTTAAGTTAATTGCTTAACACTGTAGGAAAAATCAAAAATACCTTGTTGCTAACTTTTTTTTTCCATCACAATATGTCAATGTTTAAAGTTTTATAGAATTTTAAATATAATGCAAGAAAACAATAGTCAATCTGTTTATACATTGAATAATAAACATAATAATAATAATGAATCATTGATTAATAAATTTAATGATACTTCAATACGTGCTGAAATAAATCAATTTATTCAACAAGTAAATTATTGGTTAATGATTGTTGAACTTTGCATGGTTTTATTTGGAGTATTAGGAAATAGTCTTGCACTTATTGTTATTAATCGTCGTTCATTACGTCATACATCATCAAGTGTATTTATAACATATTTAGCTATATTTGATTCATTAGTTCTTATTGTTCATTTTACATGTTTAATAACATTACACACAATAAAATCATTTATTGTACATTGCTTTTTTACTTATTTAACAGATTTTATTACATTTACTAGTGTTTGGATTATGGTTATCATGACAATAGAACGTTGTATTGCAGTTCATTCACCATTTTTAGCCAAACGTTTTTGTACAAGGAAGCATGCACGTCATGCAATGTATATGCTGATATTTTTTGCATTTGCTTTCTTTTCTTTAACATTTCCATTGGTATATACAATAGATAAAAGACATGAAAAATGTGGTGTTCGTAAACAGTATCAAACATTATTACGAATTATAAAACCAACAATGTTTTATTTTATACCTGACCTTATATTATTATTTAATTTATTTATCATTTATCAATTATTTATGGCTAAACGACAACGAACACAAACATTAATGAATCCCGAAAATGCTACACATCAAATATATGCAATTTCATTCAATAGACAACAACAGCAATTAACTATTATGCTTGTTACAGTTTCATTAAGTTTTTATTTATTTACAACACCAGCTATTATTGATTATATACTTCAGAGAAAGCCACCCAATTACCGAGATGCTAAACGACTTAAAATGCGGTTTTTAAGAAGTAATTTAACTGTTGTTTGGCTTCAAATGAGTTCAGCAGTAAGTTTATTTATAGAAAAATAGAGTAAACAAAAATAAATCATTTCATGACAAAAGACTGTTGAATCTATCGACTTATCTTAAACGAGGATGTCATACTTGTGGTTCTGTAGAGAAATTTGTGACGCATCGAGTAGTATACAAGAAATAATGCTTTATGAAAATTCATGATATTTCAATACCATCAACTTTATATCATAGAACAAGTAAGTAGTAACGTGAAACTTTCTCAAAATTGGTACACTATCGAGCTCTATATTTTTCATAGATAATATACTTCGGAACAAGTGGGACTCATTGTCAATTTGCAAGGTTGTCTCTTAGAATATCATATTTTTCTGTATGAAGAGGTCAGAATATTGACGATATTTTTTACAATACTCTCAGTAGGCTCATTAAAAATTTTTATACACCAATAATCAGCACAAAATTCTAGTAAATTGATATGATTCCTTTATAAATGGAAACATTTTTTTTGACCTTCGGATTCCTAGAGGGGAAAGGAGTACGGGACTATGAAAAAATTCATTTTTGAAATAAACATAACATATGTGTAAATTCTTTTAAATTTTCTTGCATAAGTTAAAGGTGTTATGTACATCAGTTCGTTATGAATGCTATGCTGACTATTAGTGTAGAGACATTTTTTAAAAATAGGATTGTTGAGTATTGTTAAAATATCATCAAGATATTCTGGCCTCTTCATACAGAAAAATACGATATTCTAAAGAACAATCTTGTACGTTGATAATGAGTCTTAACTGTTCCGAACAATGTTATCTATGAAACATTTGGAGATCGATACTTTACAATATTCGAGAAAGTTTCATGTTGATACTCACTTGTTCTGTGACACAAAGTTGAACACAGCAGGATATTGTATAGTCAAAAAATGACTTAAATCTAAGAAAAAGCACTAATTTTAAGTATGAAGAAAGCAACGATGAAAACTTTTGATTATAGTATTGAAAAATGCATCTATAACTGTATCGAATCGAGTTTAAAGAACAAATTTTGTCTAAGTTGATCTTAGAATATGTTAGAAATCACAATGTCTATGAGTATTATATGTACTCCTTAAGGACTGTAATCAGTTTATCGACTATCAGCACATGAAAATTTGTATAAAACATTACATCTGCTATACCATTCGATGCGCCGCAAATTGCTCTACACAAAGACAAATATGATATCCTGGTTAAAGATAAGTCGATAAATTCGGTGGAATCTTTTATCTTTTTTCTATTTAGACTAATTTTTTATTTTATTATTTGTGTGGTTCAAAATTTCGTGCAGCTTGTTTACAAACATTGACTGAGATCTCTGACTATATACAAGTAAAATTTGGTTGTAATGATCAAAGATCACGAAGTTCTAGTAATCCGCAAACAACTTCAACACTTGCCATGGAAATGCGTCCTGAAATGCATTATGATCATCGACATAAAGTCCGATCTAATTCTATACTTCAAACTTATCAATACAGTAATTCATCAAAACGAACAAGTAATGATACAATTACAAGTTCACATTTAAATAGCAGACGAACATCGAGATGTGTATAAAATGTGCAAAAACTTTAATATACAAATTTTTATGTAAATAATATGAAATAAAATGAGAAAACAAAGGTATCTTTCATATCTACGAAATATCAACATAACTATAAAAGAAAAAGCGCGACAGATATAAAATTATGCACAAAAGACAAAGCAATATGGAATGATCATTAGTAAAAAAAACCAAAAATCAAATTTTACACAAAAAACAAATAAAGAATATCTCAGATCTCTCTGTACAAAGAATTTTGATGAAATCTATATTAATGTATTTCTCTTTGTTCGAATCATTTTAAACTACATAATTATTTCCCTGATTCTTTGTATCATTTGCACGTCGTATAAAAGCTTCTTCACCATCGGATCCACCATTAGCTCGACGTATGAATGCTTCTTCGGGTAATGAACCATCAGCACGACGTATAAATGCATGTTCATTTTCATTATCAGATTTACGTATAAATGGTTGTTCACCATCGATAGGTCCACGTACGAATGGTTGTTCATCATTTATAGCTTTGCGTACAAATGATGGTTCATCTTTTTCACCATGACGAATAAATGGTTGATTTGGATTACCAACATGACGAATAAATGTTTTTTCATTATTATATTTTTTTGCTTCAGTTATAAAATAGATTTCAAATACAACAAAACCAACTATATGAAAATAGATTAAGAAAAAAAAACATGAACGAAAAATTTAAGAGAATCGTACCAGCTAAAAATGATGATATCATGGAACCAACCATAAAATGATACGACCATGATAAAAATGTATAATCAGCTCGAGGCATCCATTTGCCTGGAATAGCATCGGAATAGATGCCAAATAGAAGAATAGCAAGAAAATTACACAACCCTAAAACAAAAAAAGTATAAATAACAATCTAGTTAAAAGTATAATTTATAATTTTAGTACCCGAAAAAAAAAACGAACGCGTGACTCAAATATAATTGGCATACGTATTATTCGTGCAATAATTCTATCATTTATTTTCGCTTAATAAGGGAAGTCCTCTAACTGTTCAATCGTTTTTGAGTTAAGACTATCTGTATTATGTAGATCCAAACTCAACGAGAGCAGTTTTAGATCTTTTGATTTGCTTCTATCCTGAAATAAAAGCATCAAATCTGCTGGTTTGTATGAATGATGTAAAAGACACACAATGATCATAATTGTATCTTAGAATAGGAACAGCGACAAAACTTAAAACATTCACCATAAATGATTCTTGTCAAGGCCTGCCTCTATGAAAAGTTTCAAGTTAAAATTCGAGAATCAGTTATTCGGAACCACTGTATTGATTTAAAAATACCGAAGAATTTTGTATCTTTATAGCTATAAGCTAACAGTACAAATTCTTTTTAGGATATTTATAGTTCACTTGCATTTACATAATGTACATGGTCTCAAATCAAAGGTCATTGAACGGTTGAAGAACTTCTCTCATAAGACTACACTATATTTAAAAGATTCACTTTGAAATTCTCTATAAACATGTATACTTTGTTTTATTTAATATTCTTTCTAAGTACTAAAATGAATATGGTCTACTAAAAAGATTTCGTCATATCAAAGGTATTATGGGGTTTCGTACAATAAATTGATAATGCAAAATGATTCGAGATACTCATTCTATCTAAATAATGCGCTCATCAGGTTGTCCAAAGTTAATTCGAATCAAGTGAAAAATTCAAAAATTCCAAATTTGATTAAAACATAAAAAAAGTAGTGTCATCTTAAAAATTGATCAAAGAACTCAATATATCAAGAAAAACTGTTAGCTAATTGAATGCGAAACAATTTTCGAAAAGAACAAACATTAAAAATTTTTTTCGGACAAAAAAAAAATGCTTGATTTAAATGTCATGTACAATACTCAAAGTAATCTTATATGGACGATGAATCGTAATGAACTTGATAAGAATGGTACCATTTAACAAAAAGAAACCAAAAGTTTCGACAAAAAGTATTGATGTAATAACAATTTGTGTTTTTTATTGACAATGAATAAGAAAAAGTTAAAACAACATTAATTCAAGAAAAACATGCTATAAGAAATTAAAGAAAACGTTGTCTTAGAAAATTGAATTAATTATTTGTTAAAAAATGATTGAAATTATTTACATGAAATAAAATACATGTATTTTCAGAGGATGAAAAGACGAGTCTTTTTAAAAGGGTTAGCCCTGAGTTCAAAAGCCATCTATCTTTGATGAAGTTCAGTAAAAATACATCAACATCTCCAAATCGAAACGTACAAACTCCTCCGAACACACTCATTCTAAACACAATTTGATTTAATGTTCGCATCTACTTTTTAGAGATACTATGTTACAGAACTTCATTAATATCTGACTTTTGCACTATTTCCATTTATAAGTATGTACATGTTTAGAATTAACATTGAATTCAGAAAAAAGTGGAGTATTAAAACTTACCATTTGATGCTGTTGACGAATATCTCGTTATTTTGGAGTCACTTGATTTTATCCTACTTCAAATTACGATTTTCGAAAAATCTCATGATCAACACTATTTTTCGTTTCTTATTCGACACATTTATGCTCATTAAAATATGACCTGATATAAAAAGTTTATTTGATATATCGCCTTGCTTCGCAGTGAAATGCTAAACTCTCAACTCTGCTAAACAAAGTTCCTTTTTTTTGAGCTTCCGTAACGCTTGACTACGTCGAATAGTCGTCTTAAAAAAAAGTAGTTGTTCTACATGTCATCCAATTTGTATAGAGTATTCTAAGTTGATAAATGCTTCCTCAGTCTTGATCGTTTCACAATGAAGAAAAAAAAACAACTTATTCACTTACAAGCACATGCACATAAAATACAACCAATGAGCATTGAACGACGTGATAAACGATATCGTGTAATAGCAACAACAATCAACGCAACACAACCGAGTATATTAAATATTAAGCCAAAACATGCAAATGTTTGCACAGCAGTAAACCATGCTAATTGTAATAAAGTCAATAATTGAATTTATTATTACAAAAAAAAAAAACGAAACAATCAATCTACCTGGTGTTAATACTCCATCTTCTCGTAATCCATTATATTCACGTGCATATAACCACCAACAACCGTAATAAACTTTTCCCCAATAGTTTTTCGGATTACGAAAACCAGCTATACACACTTGCCAAAGTCCTAATTTACGAAAGGTTGTATCACCGACACTAACAATTAAAAAAAATAAGACTTTCAAAAGAAACATTTTTCTTTTAATAAATATACCGAGGCCAAATTTGAAGCCAGTATGGTGTTGAAAAACCAATTAGATCACAAATTAATGCAAATATACTAAAAAATAGGGCACTGCCCATCCATAGTTTTTCTGAACGTTTTAACATTTTATGATCTAAAACAATGATGTTCTATTATAATTCTCTTTGCATTTTCTTTTTATATTTTTTATCGTGTATAAATAAGGAACAAGTCTAAAAAAACAATCATCATAAACAACATTAACTTAAATTAAAAAGACATGTTAAATACACATTCATTTAATTTTGTCTTGTTTTCTTTCTTATTGCACTTTTCTGGTTAATTTATCTTTAGTTAACAATAATTCGTATTTGCTTTTACTTTTAAACCAAAGAAAAAATGGAAAAACAATACATGGACTTGCCATTGCTGTAAAAAGTATCCAATCAATCTAAAGAAAAAGAGCAAAAGAAATAGTTTTTAGTTATTACAAACAAAAAAAAATCTAAATAATGCTTACAATATGTGATGAAAATCGTCGATCATATTCACGACTTGTCATTATGTAAACATCACCAATTTCCGATGAATAAGTTCTCTATGAAACGAATAAGAAAATTATATGCTTTTCTTTTTGAACTGTATTATGGAATAAACAATTAAGAGTCTATTTTATTTTTAGTACATCAAACAACTATCATAGTTGTAAAAAAAAAGACTATTCACCAACAAAACTACACTATCTATGTGAAAATTAGACAAGTCATAACATTATCAACACTATTTCAATTGAATAAAAGACTTTTTTTTTCATTGATTTTTCCATACAATCTTACAAGGGAATATAGTTAAATGTCGGCACACTATTGAAGGGTTATGACCATTTTAATGAAATTTTTACTAAGAACAAGGAATGGTTGAAAAATCCATAATAAAAAGTTTCGAGCTTAAATTTTGTCTTGCGGCAGACTTAATAGTCCAGAAATTTTCAACGAAAACGACCACGTCTTTTTCGAGATATTCAGTATTCTATGTAGTCCTGATTGCTATTTCCGCCTGTAGTAAACCACTGGTTTTGTCGATATTGAATATCTCGAGAAAGACATGTTCGCTCTTCGTTGAAAATTTTAAGACGATCCAATAGCTACCAGATGTAAATATAGACCTCATTTCAGCTGGAAATTGTTGATCTTGAATTTTACGGAAACGATTTGTTCTCAGTAAAAATTTTATTTCAACTGCGATAACTATTCAATAGTAGACTCTGACGTCAAATCCTTTTAAACTTGTCTTAGCTTCATTCGGATCTATCCATGGCAATAATGAAAAATTGATCGGCGTTCGACAGTTACATATATTCCCTCACCAATGTTCATTTTATTAACAAAAAAGAGTAAATAAAATGGAGAATGATGAACAGAATAAAATCCCATCTTTCAGCAATTGAGCTTTCATTGAACTTCAGTTAGAATATTCTATAGATTTTTTCAAAAGATGAATTCAATGAAATCATGTGTTCTAATCTTTTATAAAACGTACTATGAAAAGAATGATCTCTTACTTGAACATCCGTATTCTTTTCACTCTTTTGGTATGTTACAATAGCATGTGTACTATTACTTATACCACTTTGTTTTGGTTTAAGAACAACAACATGAGTTAAATTTGCTCCTCTATATAAGAAAAGAAATAAATAACATGTATTTTTCAAATATCGATATTAGAAAGAAATATACTTACGCATGAATTCGTTCCCATTTTGGATTGAGTGTACCAACAAGTAATTCAAATTTATCTGTCGGAAAACTATGAATATCATTTAGATTGACATTAAAAACTGTTCTAAAATATCCAAGAAAAAAACTTCTTTTTTATTGTTTTGTTTTTTTTTAATTAGTTTTTCTTTTTACGTTGGGCCTGAATTGTATAAACCATATTTAATAGTTAACTCCTTATTTTGTACAATAAATCGATTGATTGTTTGTTTAGTAACAAATAAAAATGATTCTTCATCATCTGTTTGACTGAATACGACAGATATTATTGCAATCAATGTCAATGATATTTTAAAGAACATTGTCAAAGAATTGTTAGATATTGAAGGACAAAATGATTGTTCTATTATCAAAGTTTATTGTCAAATACGTAAACAAAATAATCGTAACCAATACATATAAATTAAATTTTACAAAAATTTTTAAAAGATTTAAATAAAAAACTGAGAAATTTCAAGTTTTATTTATTCTACATGAAAATTTTATAATATTTTCTTTTCTAAAAGATGTCACTATAAAACGTTTTTCTATTATCGCTAATTTCAATGCAATTTTTTTAAATCAGTTGTGTATTGTCCATACGGATGAATTTCCCACCAATCCAGTTGTATAACAGTATAGAATACTAATAATAACCTTGTTCCGAAAACGAGAACATACGGATTGTATGTCAATCAAAAAAATAATCATCACCTGATCGCTGACATAATAGTAGCTAAAATAAAACTCGAATCATACGACTTAATATATATAGTTTGTTGTGTATCAACTGCTGGCTTTATTTTTTTAATACCATTCTATCTTTTTTATCTCAATGCTTTATTTGGCTTGACATTACATCAATGTCATTATTCAATAGAAATGAGAACACGTTGTAATTATTCATGTGTCCATTTGAATAAATGTTTTCAAGTTGAAATGAAAAAAGGTTTCATATTCACGATGAAGATGTGACAAAAAAATGAACGCAAATAGACAAATAACATTAACTTTAATAATATCAAACGAATTTATTAAATGGAAATAATTCGATTTATTCAATGCCTATCAAGAATACTTTTCTTTTACGAATAATAACATATGAAAAACATTAATATGAATTGATTAAATCAAGAATTGCATTTCAATAATTTTTCAAATAAAATACAAAAACTCATTAAGTTCTCACTATATGCGATGTTTCATGAAAATTTATTCAATTGCAGCAATAGATGATTATATTTCCTGTAAGGAATAGAATTCTTCTTTTACTGGAAGGCATATATGAAAAGTTATTTGTTGAAAAAAAAAATCTTTCTATGTTTACATTAATTTAATTTTGTGATGAGTTAATAATATATCAGAAACGTTTCACTCATTATTCGTTATTGTATTCAGTTGCAGACAACTAGTCACTTAGTTGAATCGAGAGAAAACAATGACAAAAATTTTTTTTTTTGAGTTCAGTAAATAAAAATTAGTGAAAAAACGAGAAAAGAGATGAATTATATAGTTGCTTACAGTTGATTTTTTTGTTATCAATTGTTTTTTTACTTTCAGATAATAATAAAATCTATTAACGTATTTTCTTTATGCACATTTATGTATTTCTACTTAGTTTCCAAAGTTGATCTTAGAACTATTACTATTTATGAAAAAAACGCCGAATATAATAAAAACTTATTTTATCATCTGAGTTATCTTTCTATTTTTTTTATACATCAATGGTTGAATAATTATTGTCTTTTGATCATGAAGAGCAATAGTTGAAAAATATATGCCTGTAGCATTCGTATATATATATATTTTTTAACTTTTGAATAGAAGAAAATTTGGCTAACAAACTAGTAAGGAAACTATTCAAAGTGATTTTTTATCCTCGAATTCCTTTTTTTTTTTGGTTACATAGAGAAATCATTCAGACTAGAATAACCATAAAGAAGCCCTAAACGCAATCCCCAAGAGATTAAATTTTGAAACACCATGCACATGCTCTTAATAATAACAGAATGTAACTTTATTCTATCTCTTTTGGCACATATTTCTTCATTATCTTTTTGGTGAATCCTTGAAAAATACTATAAGCAAATATTTCATATAGTAGAACACGATACTATTGATATATGTTATTTAATTGTATGTCAACAACATCTGTCATGGCCTGTAGAGGGTCCACATTTATATCCCTACATTTCGACACTTCTGTTAGATTATGTTTCATAGGAACTTAGGTTCGTAAGCTTTGTCAACAGAGTTATCAAAGTTTTGCTAGATTAAGATTATAGGATGTAGTATTATCTAGAACAGTGCACAAAAGTTTTTACTTGGAACTTCGTCTAAAAGTAGATCTTATCATATTAAGAATATTCTAAAAATTTTTATTAAAAATGATTGTTTTTTTTCTCAAATATTCACAGTTCAAAAATTTTCGATTTTTTTCAAACCGTTTCTAATATCGAATTGTTTTTCGATCGTTGAACATCTAAACAATGAAATAAGTATTTTCACTACAACGTTTAGAATATTCTTAATCTAAGGGGACATACTAATAGACAATATCAGATAAGAAGTCTCTTGTTCAGTGTTCTGCCGAATACCACATCCTTATGATCTCAAAATCAGGAAAAATATCGTAATTCTGTCGATAGAAGTTATAATTTCAAATCTTGTTGTGATAATTCTAATCTACAGACTCTCTTTCAGTATGCTCAAAATATGAGTTCTAAAATGACGAATCATTTCGAGTGATTGTTTCGAGAGTCACTTAATAACAAAAGATTTTTTGTGTGGTAACATATAATATGTAATATGAAACGTCAAATCTATTTTTCTTATGCAGTTATTTAATTAGAACAGATTGAATACTTTTCTGACTTATTAAACATCATGAATTAATAAAAGCAACATTCAATACATCCATTATTAATATTTCAGAACAGAAAATACACAGTCAAGATGTATGATATCACATTCATCTCTATTACTTTTTTTCGGAATCGTTAACAAATCTAAAAAAATTTACAAAACAACCTTTAATCAATATCTTGGCTGTTTCCTGTCGCTGTTAGATACTACATCAATTGTGTTATGATAATTCTACTTCTATAATAATTTATTTATTTCAATTGAATCCTACATTACTAGTAAGACATAATGAAAGATCAAATGGTATTCTAAGGAGTTTATTTTCTTTTTATTTTTGAGATTAATGTTATTTTCTATCTTGATATAATAAAAGTTTTGTCTATTTAAATGTTTTCATGAATGCGTCTTGTGCATTACAACATTTTTGTGATATACATGGACCACAAATATTGTTGTGTACAGAAGAAAGAACTTATATACATGATTTAAATGATAATGATAATGAAGGTTTAAAAGCATTTTATGCTCAATACATTAAACCAGAGCATGCACAAGGAAAAGTTGAATGCAAAGTAAGAAAGTTATTAAATATTTTTTTTTTTTTTTTGTTGAAAAACTAAACTTTTCTACAGTCATGCACATTATCATCTGATGGTATTCTCGTTTCAACAGTTGATTTATTAACACATATGCTATATATATCATCACCATCAACACCTAATCAAGAATTATTTAAAAATATACGTAATGCTTGTGTAAGAAGTTTAAATATTGAAGTAAGTTTTATTGAAAAAAGTAAAATTCTGAAAACTTTCTTATCGAGACTAAAATGATACAAAAAAAATCTTCAAAATTATTTTTTCTTAGTAATCTTCTTTCTTTCGCGTTTATGTTTAATATATGACGAAGATTGTTGAGTTACTTTCTGATAATTAAAAATATTAGGATTCCATTCAATTTATGCAAAAGAAAATTTATAACGAGTCTATTTAATTTAGTTCATAGATTAACGTGTTACTTGCATTTTCTCTTATTAACAACAAAAAACTCTCTTGTATTTTTTAAAATAGAAATCTACTGACAATGATCACCCAGTTTTATTTGGTGATGATGAAAATGGTTATTGTTTATCATTAACATTTTCTTGTAAAGATTTTCATGCACGTGGAAGTCAACGTCTCTATTCATTATGTTATTTATGTAATGATAAATATCATTTAATATCTCTTATGAGACTTATTAGTGAATGTATGAGACAAGTTGTATATTGGTTACAATATGATGCTAATAAAACTTACGAAGAAGAAGGACGTATTAAAGTAAATACAAATTTAAATGAAACAACAGCAACATATATATATCGTCCTCCACCTCGTGCACCATCACTACGTATGCTTAGTGATATTGTACATGATTCACAAATAATATATCGTATTCATGCTTTATTTGTTTGGATACTTCGAACAACTCATTCAGCAATTCATGAGTCACTTTTTGATGCTTTACCAACCGAAGAACAAACGACAAAACAAGAACGAAAAGGTAAATCAAACTTTGAAAATTCTAAAATAAAACAAGAATATTCTTTATTATCTTTTGTTTTGTTTTATTATTAGATATATATGAAAATGAACATTTAACAAAACATCGAACAAAAACTATAGTTGAAATCTTACCATCAATATTAACAACTAATAATCAAAATCATTATTCTACATCAATTTATGCATCTATTGATAATAATTATCAAAATGAAAATGTTTTTGATGATGATGATTATGATTCATTAGAATATCAATTTTCATCATATGGTAATAAAGCATTACAATTATTTAAAGAATTTATTGAAAAATTAAATGATATGAAACATGTACAGTATATACTTTATAATTGGATAATTGGAAATCAATTAGTTATTAAATATACTAATAGAATTGATAATAAAGAATTTATTCGAGCGTTTGCAAGTGTTTTTCGAGTAAGAAAAAAAACTAGACAAAAGACTAATTGAAAATTCTTTATTCTGTTATCATAGTTATTTTTACCTGATGGTTGTTGTCATTTAATTGAAACAATAGACCCAATTGTATCATGTACAGCTAATCTCGTTTTAGTTCATACAGATTTAGTAACATCAACGAATGAAATAGAAGCTAATCAGGATAATAATTCAATTGTTATTACAATTATTGTTGATAATAATGATGATCATATACGTGAAGCTAAATTAGAAACATTACCATCATTAAAATCGGACATTATTGGTTAGTTTGATTTTATTTCGAAGAACAAATGAAAACTTTTGATGTGTTTTTTTTGCTTAGTACCGACTTATGTAACAACGATTATTGAAATATTAACTGATAATAGTTTAGATGATGAAGCAGTTGAAGCAATTATTACACAACATAAGATTAAATATTTAAAGTAAGTTATTCGATATTAAAAAATATGACTT